TTTGAAAGAAGTGAAGATCTTCCTTTGCATTCTTGTATCCATTCCGCATGCATGGTGCAAACTGCGTTTCCTAAGGGGCTAATTGTGATTCCACCGAACCCAACTCCAAGCGACTCGTTGATCACACTACCAAAAGACTGCTGCTGTCGAACATACAGTGATCGACACAAGCTCTCATCTAGCCACATATCATTCTGATCAATGGTGAGCACATCAACGTGTTCCAGCATGTACACAAATGTCCATGGCCTCCTCGGCAAAATCACCAAGCTTCGGTTGCGTTAGACAAATAAACGCTTGGGATCCCATCTCCATAACCAAGACTTGGTTGCACTCAGAGATTACACATACCAAGGTCGTGATCCAGGGAATGTCGCTGTTCCGACAGGATTGTCGTAGCAGGGTAGGTGGTCTAATTGTAATATCACAACTACTTACAATGAGAACGATTGGATTATCCGAAGTCGCTGGTCACCGACTCGTTATGGTGTCACTTGCTTCTCAGGTACAATGACAAGTGCTTTGTGGCAGTCGTTTATCCCCCCCCCCATCGTCCACTCCAGAGATAAACTCCTGCCCAAAACCAACAATGAGAGAAAGCTTATTCCCAACCTACAGCCACGTTCTTATCTCTACAGATTTTAACTTGCATGACCTAAAATCCTCGGCCATCCTGGGGAAACGTTTAAGGCCGACCTGCAAGACCTTATCATAAGTATTCCGCTCTACAAGAACGTTACCATACCTAACAGGTACAGAGCTGCTAACAAACCACTGATACTAAGGCTTGTACTTACGAATGAGGAACTCATGGTCGATAGGCCCTTTATGGGCACCACACTGGGGAAAAGTGATCATGCCACTATACTTTATAATCGTGTGTTTCGCTGAATATGCAGAGGAACACACTGAGCCAACATGTGCCACAATGCGCCACAGTATACTAAACTACCTAGTTTTGGCGGCTGATTGGGAAATTTTGAAATGTGACTCCGATGACAGCGGCTGAATTCAGTTTGTTGTACCCCTCAGCAATCTTCTCGCAACTGCTTCAGAATTTATCGTCGTTCACCAAAAATAGAACTTGCAAAACCATTTTACTAAGGAATGCAGCTTGACACACTTACAAAGCACGTCATGGTCTCAAAATCTGAAGCGACCACACGACCCGGTGCAACCATTGTACTGTAAGTGTTAAGGAGAAAAAAGTGACTCACCAAAAATCATTTGGCCTGTAAATTTGCAAATAGCAAGAAGCTACCATACAAGTATGTTAACACCATTCGGAAGGTGAAACGCGATATCCCCAAAACAACAAGATCGTCGGAGTGACACAAAGCGCTGAAGAAGTAGCTAACGCTCTACGGATGCATTGTACCCCGATCTTCCAACAGGATGTCCTTCATTGTTACATACCTATATCACTAGCCCCAATTTCAACATTTACTAAACACTTTTAATGCCACACACGTGTTGAATAAAATGCTGTTACAGTTTCGGAATCGACTATATTCACCCGAGAGCACTGAAGGTAGCAGCAACAACGCTGGCCGAGCCATTACCGCATTTTTTCCATACGTACTTGGATGAACAAACGGTGTCTACCATATGGAACTATGACCTAATCACACCAATTTTCAACAAGCGGGAGTCATTCGGAGCCCGCAAACTATCGCCTAGTGGTCCTTCTCCCTGTACTCTCAAAGGTGATGGAGTCAGTCATCGCTGAGCCTAATTCGGCCATCTATAGAACGCTGCAGCCTCATAGCATCTGACAAGCGCAGTTTTCGACAACACCGTTCATGCACAACCAACCTACTGATTGAAAGCAGTAGTTGGAATAAGCAGCCAATAAAGGTAGAGGGACGGATGTCGTTTACCTCGACTTCTCCAAAGCGTTTGACTGATGGTCCAATGTATACTGGTTCACATACTCGAGAGCTACGTATGTTGCATCCTGCCCTGTCCTTTTCAGTAGACTTGGCAATTACAGCTTAGAGGTCCAGCTGTACTAGCTGATCCGATTCATGTTGAATGTGGCGTTCCAAAGAATCAGTTTTCGGATCGCACCTGTTTTTCGCGTTCATTAATGAGCTTACAAGTTTGACTCCCTCGGTTTTTCTGTTGTTCGCCGCATATGTTAAGCTGTGGATGGCCATCACCGGCCAAGGAGATTATGCTGCACTTCAGCGACAATCGAACAATGGAACAATGGTGTATTACGGGGAAACAAGCAATGTCTAACAAGTCCCGTGAAATGGAAATGATAGAGAAAAAAAAAAATCATGATAGAGGGAAAAGCGGTTTGGTGGACTCACCATAAAAATTGTTAAAGAGCTGAGATGTCCGTGGAATAAGTGTGTAAATTCCCAAATCCATTTGTTGGGTTTTGGAAACACACCGTTTGATTTCGTTTTTTAGCCCCCTGGATATCAAGTTAGAAAATGAAATGCCAATGGGACAACGCTTCGTCAATTTGTTTTATAAATGTCGACAGATTGGGGGCAGAGACGACATAATTTGGGAGAGCGTGTCAAGGTTGACACACTCGGAGGAAAAAGAAATTTCTACGACACTCGAGCCGGCTATACCGTGTCAGATTCAGAGGATTACCTCTTAGTTTATTGTTGTAGTTCAGTTCCATCAGCGAGTGGCAAATATGGTTTGGGTACTTCTGAATCTAGTAAACCATTATGGCGGCCCCCACAAAAGCCGATATCGACTGCAATACATTCTTAGAGACTTCAATCTATGTTGATATGGTAGATGGAAGAGGCCTATAACGTTCTTGGTTGCCCTCGGTTGGGGAGCTTCAAGTGCATCGAGATCTAAGGCTGCCATGCTTGGACGTAGGCGTTAAGCATTTGTGGAAAGCTTGAGGGGTCAAACCGACCGAAAGCTCTGCGAAGAAGGTCTTGTTGTTGAATGCCGGTTGTCGACGCCTTCTCTGCTTATTTTGATCATTTGAGATAGTCCTGTATCGGTAAACCCAAGTCATGCCCCTGTGGGGGCTTCTGCAAGGTGTGGTCTCTAAGCAAAACCTGGACAGGGAGCATAAACTGTCACTCCGAAATCTGCTCTAGCATAATTCGTCTATGTGTAAGATGATCTAAATTCGTCACCAGACGAACATCTCTGTACGTTCGCTGTTGCATAACACATACTTGCGGTCTCATATAGAATACGCAGTACAGGATTGACAGCGCTGGCACAATCAAGATATGGCAGCACTCGAGACTCTACAGCGAAGAGCCACAAAGCACGTCAAATGGTTGTTCCATCTTCCATATCAACTTAGCCTGGGAACTCTAAGGTTTTACAGCGACCGGTATAAGCGCCTACGTGGCAACGTAAAAATAGCCTACCAGATTTTGACGAACCTCAAACACGTCTGTCGTCACCTACTGCAACTCAGTCACAACACAAATTTGAAGGGCCACCAGGTAAAGTAGCCAACGCAATACAGTCGGATAGAATGAAGACGAAACGTTTACTCTCTTCGTGTGTGCTAGCCATGAAACGCTCTCCCAAATCACGTTGTTTCCGCCCCCAGTTTAACTGTGTTTAGGCTACGTCTTGACGTTGCCCTAAGCCACCTGCATTACGTGAAATAGTCTGTACAGATCGGCAGGGGATATATTGTGACGAACGTTGTACAAAACCTGCACTAGCCTACACAATGAGGTTGGATCCTTGCTGTATGCCTCTATGGGAACACTGTGGTGAACCTACAATAACGCATTTGATTTTGTCGCTGTTTTCACCATTTGTGATTCTCATTCTGAGCATCCTACGGGACACGTTAAGCATCCGCATTTTTACCCCAACATGTCATTGTTCCATTGTTCCAAATGATCTCGTAAGGGTACTCTTTTCAAACTGCCTACTATATGTCGATGGTATAAAGATATCGGGTGCTATCACTACAGTAGAGGATCACATAGCCCTACCAGATTATCCGAATAAGGTATACACAAGGTCCATCCAGAACAATCAGCAGTTTAGGGCCACTAAGTGCAAAGTTTTCAGCATCGCCATCAGAATACCCACAACTACCGCCTAGGGCCACAAATACTACAGCAGGTTTCACATAAGTGCGATCTCGGCGTGCTCGTACAAGATGACCCTGATTGTTTGAGGCAGACTGAAAAGGCATCAAAGAAAGCAAACCAGCACTCCAGCTTCCTTCGTAGATCGTTCAGGAAGTTTGACGCACGTGAGGCCGCATGCGTAATACGATATCCAAACGTGGCAATCCTAGTAGGAGCACCATCTCACCGCGCTTGAGATTGTAGAAGGCATGGCAACGAAGAACGCTGGATACTGGTTCCATCTTCCCTACCCACTCAGGCTGAAAACTCTAAAAGTTGTCGACGGACGTTATAGGCGTCTACAAGGTGATCACATAACGGTGTATCAAATCCTAACAAACTCCAACCACACGTACCTCCATCCTTTGAAACAGCCAAAACGAATCTCTGAGGAGTCATTAGTTTAATAAAGCCACGCAGTACAGCCGACACTTTGAAACGCCCTCCCGAAGCATGTAACTAATGCCCCCAGCTTATCCCAATTCAAAGACGCCTTGACGATACCCGGAGCAATTTACACTATGTGGTATAACCTATAACAATCAGATGTAGGCATTAGAGCAGAACAAGTAGTGGAGGGTGTCCTAATCCTAGTAAACATTAGGCCTGAATGCTCTTACATGTGTTAATGCAAAACCCATTGGTGAGCCATATGTCTCGTGCGTTCTTTTATCAACACTGTCTTTTATCTTGTACTTTTCACCTTAACCAAACTACGGGATTTGTCAAACCATAAACCGTTGCCCCATTGCTCCAACTCCATTAGTGTTTTTTTCACACAGTAAAATAAGGATGTTTCCTCTCAGCATGCGAAGAAGCCAGTTCAGCGCAGAACTAAACTTAACTGGGTAGATGTTGTTAGTGCCTTAGTATTTCTTCATCTGGACCATGTTGCTTCTGTCTTTCCAGGTCCTGAACGCCACAGTTCGTCAAGAGGTCACTTGCCCAAAGCGCTGGATTGGATTGTCCGGCAATGCGGAATCTTCGTCAAATGGAATTCTCCCATCAACCGTCCCTTACATAGATGGCGTCCGTGAACTTTTGTCCACTTATGCTTCAACGGTGCGAACGGAACCACCATGTGGCCTTGCTAATCGGTTCTCGTTGCCTAGCCTTCACGCATATCCAACTGGAAACAATCTGCTTGGCTCACAAAATCTCGCAACTGGTCTACACCATCTCGATAGCTTTGGCAGCGCTTATATGCCCGCGTTGGTATCCATGTACTCAATGCTTTCGCCTCAACCAGTACTTCCAAAGGCCTTCAACGCAGGTGTATTCCCATACGCATGTGACACTTTTTGGCTAAACCCGTATTCCAGCGTACCCGGAGTGCAATTGAATACCGGACATCAGTGGGGTAGATATCCGCAAGTTCAAAAGGATCCCAGCTACACAATTCCTCAACGGGCTGCTCCGTTGATGGAGGACATCGTTATACCAACGGTTCGTGATGACACATTCCCAGTGATGCCTGTCGGTATGGACCAGCTGGCCAAGTGTTTCATACGAATAAGAGGTATGCCGTTGGAAGCTGATATTCTGGACATTTTGACCTTTGTCGGGGACGCGTGGAGAAGCATAGTGGTTCATGGAGTACACCTAGTTTACAACTCATTGGTAAGATCCGCTACGGAAGTGTACACTTTCAACTGGTCGATGTGGTTCGATTGCATTTTGTTATCACACGTTGCGAAGTTTGTCGTTAGGACTATTACGCACCAGAGTACCTGGTGTTGCTTGTTGCAAGCTTTGAACGGCTTAAATTGAATGCAGCTCAATCTCTTCTATTCATACAGCCACAGATAAACGAAACCACATAGCAGCTTTGCGTCACTTGTCAAGGAACCACAAGGTCCGAACAGGGGTGTTTACTGTGCTAACGAGCATCCATCATACGAAATAGACCTGACCATAAACTGTTCCACTCATTCGAGGACGACGTACTGGAGGTAGCGTTGCGCGCTGTTGTTTGAGGTTTTGTCAAACGCTGCTGCTGTGTTTTCACTCAATCCACATCCACCTGCGGCCTACAAACCTTCACTTTGTTTTCGGATAGCTTTGACTGTTTTTTGATCGTTAACGATAGTTTTGCATGTTGCTCCTATAATACTGACTTCCCCGCTAGTGACTGCTGCAATAGTACTTACTCCTGATGGGCTAAACGTTCATAGTCAGTATTTCCCCCTAGTACTATTCGGGTTGAAGCTTCAAAGCTTGACACAAGTTGCATTTGCGAATATTCGGACTTGGAGTAGGTGAAAATCAATGAATGCTAAGCTTAATCGGTTTTCGACGAACACGTGGATGACCTCGATTTACAGTACTAAAGTACGTAACGTCTCGATGTAACGTTCGCCTAAGGTAGACGATTGTTCAACATAAGTAAATCAGCGGAAGAAATAGTATGCGCTGTAATGCCAGAGGCAACCAAAAATATATATCATTTCTCATTTGATTTTATACTTAACGCAATCACTTTCATCCGTACTGCAGTAGATCGCATCCTTAACGTAAATCTATAGTCCGATAATCATGGCAATTGCATCTATGACGCCCTGAGTGGTCAACAACTGTTAGCAACAACATGAATGTTTAACCTAGACGCAGCTAGGTAACCAAAGTAGCAGCACTTAAGCCAGGCCCATGCAATTTACAATGAACAAAGGACAATGAATTTAACTGGTTAAAAGCATGTGCTTGACAGGTCCCGTAAGATAGTTGGGGAGAATACAATGAAATCAAAAGGTATGTGAATCATCTACCGAGCGTCTACCGAGATAAATGCGTTGAAAGAAGTTCGTGTGACATAAACATCGAATGCAAACACGCGGAAAGTCACGGGTGCAGTGACGGTTGACGTAAGGCGTGGGAAAAGTGAAATTTGGCCGCTTACTAATGCTTGGCCTCCTTGAGTGATACGAAATCCGAAAGATGTGTACGATTAATGTGATCCACAATAGTGAAGCTTGAGCATCGAAGTAATGCGAGTTAACAACAAGATACAATGTTCTTTCGTAAATGTACAAAGTAAGTTAGAAGAAAACTGTCTTTGGGAAAGAATTCCAGGGTTAGCAAACACGAAAGGAAAAGTAATTCCGTCGACACTCAAGAAGGCTCTAACGTTCACTTAGTTACAAACAGTTACCTCTTATCTCGATGTTGTGGTATTCGTTCAGATTGTTCCGAATACGCTAAGCGGAGTCTATTCATAAAGAATTCCTTGTAGAAGTCGACGGCCTGGCAAATATTTATAAACATGCAAGAATAAGCAGCAGTTACGTGGCGGAAGGGCCATGCTCAGTATTTGGTTCTAAATAAAAACGGGTGCATACCAATCGATTAGGTTACTCTGCCACATAATAAATACGGACATTTCGGGTAGGATAAACGAATTAGCTTACCATTTGGGCACTTGCTGTTCCACGGCTATGAGACTTGACAATAAATGTGGTGCGATGGTTTGCGCACCTCGTTGACCCACTGAGCTATATCAAGTGGGGCTGCCTGGCAACTTCAAGATGAACGTTTAGTCAGACAAACCGTATTCTTGTCCCCCAGGTTGGGGGTTGCAAATGGGATGGTGTGCATTTATGTGAAACCAAACAATTACCACCTCGCAACCGCCTCGTGGACAGGCTTTTGAACCAAAGGCTTTGGTTGAGGACCGTAACCGTTCTTCTGTCTAGGTTTGTGCGTCTTGGCAATATCCTAACCCACGTACAACCACTAATATCTCAAACTTCAACCACATCCTGCATCGGTCGCTGCGCGGCTCTGCAAGAGTCGTCCAATCTGATGCATAGAACAAGTCGAATAAGCCTATTTTCACTTTCCTGCTCATTTCTCTTACTTATTCACACGGCCCCCGTTACTAGCCTTCAGTTTCGAATGCCCGGGTTAATTAAAACAATTGTTTCACCATTTACAATCATCTTCCCGCATCATCCACTGGGCGGCTATCGGCAACATCCCCTTACCTGGTCACGCTATCTATCTTTCCTGGCGATGTTCAATGCTCGTATTCTAAGACAGGCTACACTATCACGAACGTCAGAAATTAAAAGTATTTGGGTAGCAGTATGTCTTCACATTGTACTGACACTAGGCTGCTATGTAGACACCACAAGTCGCACGAGCGCTGGGTATCCCGCGATGGCTAGGTTTAACGCAAGGCTACCCGCACTTATGCGGAGTCATAGCCACAAACTCAAGATCACGAGGAAAGCTCGCAAAGCTTTCGACCAGCGGCCGGCGTGCGGTCGTTGTCCAAAATCAAGACTATTGACCCTCACGGGTTTTTGAATTACCTGCCTCCGGCTTTCCCTTTTTCTATTGGTTGCATGCGTCCGGAAACGATGATGTGGTAATCGCTGCTCAATTTGGAGTGGGCATTAGTAGCAGCTACAAGTCTGGGTCATCGTTGGCTGACTGGACTCCAGTAAGCAACTGTTTGAGCGCAGGCCGATTGAGGACATCAAATAAAGTTGATTCACCATGAAGTTATAGACCATTTCCCAAACGATAGCTTCAAAAATACATTACATTGGAATTCATTAAAATATTGAGAGCAGGATGGAAATCCCTTGTCACCTCCATCGGTTCCGAATCACCAAAAGGTGGATGCTTATTGTCGGGAAAGGTTACTCCTCCGGAAAATATCACCTATAAAGTAACTAAGTAATCCGAACGAATTCAACCCTAAAGCAGCAGATTTCATCCCTAGCTCAAGGAATATAATACGATAATCACCGGAATTACATTAAGGAACGCACTAAGTAGGCAGCCGTTATCAGACAATAGAAATCGGACAACATACCAGCAATACTGTTTAACCTAGATACCACAGCTGCACAGAGTAAACGCGCTTTAGGTGGTTGCCAAAATTCATTGCACTGAAGCAAGCAGGAGAAAACCTTGTGGAGGGGGGTGATTAATGCCTCGCTTCAAGGATCTCAGACACACGCTCGTCTTGATGCGCAATGTGTTAGAGCGCGCCAGTATTGGACAAACGGGTGTGTAAACGCCAGCGCTGCTTCACAAACAATCCAAACATCAAAGCTTGAGAGATAACATAAGTTTCAGAAGTCATGTCCGCTTTTTGTCCGTTGTTCGGTGAACAAGGTGCAGGCCTTGGTGTGACACGAGAGCGCACTAAATTGCCTACTGTGAATGGTAGATGTTGGTCTATCAAAATCTCCCTCACCCGGCCACAGGGGTGTAAACGACTGCGTTGATAACGGAATACCAGGCCAGCAGGCGCGCATCCTACTTACTTGTGTACTGACGTTGGATGGACAAACCGACAAAGATGGATATAAGTAGCCACACCGATATTGGATAGCTAGGCCAACATGCCAGTGTCGGCCGGCGTACCAAGGATGGATCGGCAGACACAATAACCTGCAAGCAGTCCGTGGCAAATGCCTTCGCCGCACTGATTGGTCCAGGCAGAATCGATGGATACCCGCTATCAGGCCGGTTAATAAGCTAGCCATAGCGAACCCTGTATTTTCGCTGGTTTAGCAACGGAGAACGGGAATCCTGTGCAACCGCAGTTTCGTAAGGTGCTTGTGGACCAGCGCGTGATCCTTCTGCGACTCCATGGTGAATGCACATCAAAAGCCGCCGGAACGGCTTGCCGCTACAATGTTACCAACACAATGAGTCCCGTTAACTAGCGGTACGTGCGTCGACTGGTGGAGAAATTTGACAAAATTGGGAGGGTGCGACGCCAAAAAACCGGGCGGCCTCGTACCGGCACGGATGAGGTGTCAGCTGTCGCTGTTGTGAATTTGGTAGCCCGAAGTAGTGATCTAAGAATTCGGAGCATCATGCAACCTTGTGCCACAACACCGTCTTCTGTGCAACGTATATTAAACCAAGGAAAATTCCGCAAGTATCATGCACTGCAGGTGCAATTGTTGAAGCCATGCGATTTGGAGAAGCATCGGGAATTTTCCCGGTGTTATCTGCGTATCATGGACGTAAATTTAATCGCGTTTACGGATGAGGAACTTTCGTCTGCATAGCACAGATAACTGGTATGTTGGGGCTACCAATAACCCATGACAATGCATCGCTTCTCGTGTGCAACATGGCGCACAGCTAATGGAATGGGCTGGGTTGACAGGCCTAAAAATTATCGGACCATTTTACTAATCTAAAAATGTGACTATTAACTTGCTTTTAAAAAGAAGTAATGCTTTATATTTCTTAGCATCTCCTTACATAGAAATGTTGCAGATCTGCGTCAGTCCACAGGGCTATTGGGTACTGTTTTCTTAGCATCAGCATGGTGCACCTGCGTATTTTGCACAAGAGATACTTGAGCAAATGAATGAAACCCTCCGTAATCGCTTGATCGGTCGTGGAGGAACAATGGAGTGCCCTGCACGCTCATCGGATTTAAACCTACTGGATTTCTTCCCATGGAGGTATATGGAACGTCGCGTTTATAAAATCAGGCCCACTTGTCTGTAAAAACCAAAACGTAGCATCGTCAACAAAGGTCGCGGGATCACCGTGGATACTGCAGGTGTTGGCCAATAGCATCCGGCGAATGCTGCTCTGCAAAAAAAACGACGGTGGTCATTTTGTACATCCGTTTTGTTTATTTT